GTGTAAGGCACATTTCTACATAAAATTAATAATCACAATATTTGGCTAACTTAATTCCCAAACCGAGGTCATTAAATTTGTGAAAATCTACCAAACTTACACCAAATCAAAAAGAGAAAATTATTTTAAAATGAATCTATTTAATTTAAGCTTAAATCAACATTCAGAGCCTAAAAGTACAGGGTGTGTGCTTTTTCCAACCTGGCGTATGTGAGGTTCTCCTGAACCACAGCCCCAGAATTCTCAAACACCGTCACACTCTGGAACAGAAGGTAAAGGCCAGTTTCACCAAAAGCCCTGATAAGTCACTGCTTGGGGTGCTCAACAGGACCTGCTAAATTTGGGAGACCAAATTCGAGAAAGAGAGCTGGATAATGAACAGAATAAGTAAACCCACAAGAGTTTTAATCCTAGACTAAAATATACTTGGGTTACAGGGCAGATGCGCCCTGCGCACTAGCGCGTTTGATTTTTGCGCAAATAAGGCAGAGAAAAAGCTCCTGCGCTCTGGCTAGTGGTGAGGTCATCTCCGCATCGCCACCACGGTGGACTTCATTCCACCACAATCCCTCCTATTCTGGCTGACGGGACAAAGTGGAAGGAACAACTTCCGCGACTTCATGCAAATCTGCCCAGGCCCCGTGCTGGCTACTGGTTAGGCCACTAACAAGACTGTATACCAACCGATTAAACACATTAACAACTCGCACGAGCACAAGCAAGATCTCCTTCAACGGATTACGATGCTGACCCCCGGGTTCAACCATCCGTGCCCATAGCTTTTTAATGTCTTCAATATGTCTCAATGCTTCCAAAATATCCCCTCTTTTTCTCGTTATGAGGTCTTATTTTAACCACGTGTCTGAACGGCAACTCTCTCTGGTTAATTACCGTTTTGTGCTCTTCTCCAATCTGCTGCCTGCCTGTACGGATACCGCGGGTGATACAACCGAGATGAAATTCTGGAGAGCAGCAGTGCTTGGCCCAGGGGAGGAGACTCCAGCGAGGGCAAAGAGCGCTCCCTGTGCACGGGATTTTAGCAAAAGCGTCTGGGTCAGGCGTCTCCTCCTGGCGTGGTTGTCTAAAGTTGAAATGGCCGCCTTTAAAATAATTTTAGTACACATATTTGCTCAGACATCTAGAATATTTTCATTAATTAAAAAATTTTAATTAAGCAGAGGGCATTTAAAATGGGTTGGTTTTTTTTTTTTTTCCTTTACAAAATCCACTAACCCTGAGGCCACGCCCGGCGCTGCTGGGGAACTCCGAGTTTGGAGGGAGTTGCAGTGCTTGGGTTTGCTTTTCACACCGCCCGGTTCGCGGGGTCACCGCCGCGGACCCTGGGCCTCTTGGCCCGGACAGCGCGGACAGCCCAAATCGTCAGTTTAGGGAGATGGCTCGGAAGGTTGATGAACTTTCCGCATCCTGCTACCCAGCCCAGCTCCTGCGGCCCCCAAGCGCCTGTCCTACCCGAGGCCCCCGGCTGCGCTCCCCGCTGCAGGCGCGCAGTGAGATTTTCCAGAGCGACTTCGTTCTTTATTCAGCGTTTCCGAGTCAATCAAAAGGAACGTGGCAGGTGGAGAACAGCCACCTAAGCGATTGCGTGAATCTTCCTGTGGGGATTTCCACAGCCTACCCCAGGTGCTTCTAAAACCGCCTGACATGAAAGATTCACTTAGTTTTCTGCGGGTTCCTCCCAGCCCGGCCCCCGGTGTGTCTGATCTCAGAAAACCCGGGCTGCTTTCCAACCTCTGGTGGGTTCCACCTGGAAGGGCGCGAGTGATCGCCTGCCACCTCGGCCCCGGGATCTGCATCCTAGAAGGAGCAGAAGTGATGGTAGAAGTAATAATACGATCGATGCCAATAGCTAACAATTAGAGAGGCCCCACATGCCAGCCAGGCAACTGACCACCCCTGCGCACTCCCGCCTTCCAGCCCTGCGGAAACCACATGATCTTATTGCACGCAGGGGAGCACAGAGGCTCGGCGCGACTAGCGAGCTACCAAAGCCAAAACTGGAGACTAGGTGTCCGACTCCAGAGACTCCATTCTTAACAGTCGGTGTCCACAGCCCGGGAACGGTGGGACGGGTGACTGTAACGGCTGAGACTTGGGCAACTGCTGACAACAATAAAAACATGAAGGACAAAAGGGAGCAGGAGGGCGAGGCAGGGAAGAGAGTGAGTTTTAATCCACTGGGTCAGCACCCTTTTACCTCCCATCCTTTCCTGGGGCCTAAAGAGAGCATGGGGACAGGGAGTAGAGTTCCATTCGCCTCTTCCCTTCGTTTTTCCAAAGTCTCGAGTCTCTTGGATACTCATTGGGCCTGGAGGGGTGCCAGGTAGTCAGTGGAGTCATGCTTGTGAAAACTGATGTGCGGGGAGGGGAGGGGCGGTGATCGGATAGAAGAGGTGGGAACCGGTGGCTGGGCCCTCTGGTTGGCATCGAGGTTTCCGAAGGCCAGAGTCTGGACCCTCTGCCCATCCGCGCCTCATCAGAAGCTTGGTCAGCCCAACAGCTCATCCCAAAGACTGGCGGCCTCGGAAAGCGTTGTGCAGAGGTCGTGGTTATAACCCCGGCCGTTGTCCCTTTGGAACAGGACCCACAACCCAACTGGAGAACAGTTTCCGGAAGCCCCGACTTCTAGGCAATCCATATGTCTTAATCAGTGGGCCCCCGATATTCTTTGCGCCCTGACGTGTAAAGGGCCCACGGAGACACGCGTTCCTGCCCTCGTTCTGCCAGCACCCATGCCGGAGAGGCGGCCGGCGAGCAGTGCCCGGGGCGCCAGGAAGCCGGCAAAGCTGCGCGCTGCTCCTGCCCGCTGCAGTGAGTGCATTTGCCCGACAGGGACCAGCACTGCTCCACGCTCCACGCGCCGCATGCAGCCGGCCGCCCACCCATCTGCCAGGCGGAGGCGCAGGGCCACCCGTTCAGGTTACCCACCCAGCCGAGCTGCTCGTCAGCGAAACGTGTTTGACTCTCTTTGGGTTTGGGTTCCAGTAAGGAGGGGGATTGTAATAAAAATGAACAGACTCTCCTCAGCCTGAAAAGGACGCCGTCACTCCCACTCCCACTCCCACGTCCCCATCTGGGGAGCAGAAGCTGCTCTAGAAGTTGGTCTAGGGTGGAGACCCTGGCCGGTGGAGCGCAGAACGTCCCCAGAGCTGAGAGTAATAACACTAGGTCATTCTTTTTGGACACGGCCACAGTTAGAGGGTTGAGTGCTCTCATGAGAGCCGCCTCAGTCACTATCACTCATTCTTTGAGAGCTTTCCTGATTAATTATAGGGTACCGTGAGCCACTGAGCTGCCAGAGCTTCTCGAGAAGTTTCTATGGGTTGTGGGAGAGGGGGGCGCACACCCGGTTTGTTCTCTACCCTCCCCGCCCCCGGTGGTCTGAGACTGTACTCCTGTCACTTCCCCAGCACACGACACATCTGTCTCCTCTCCCGTTCTGAATTGCAGCCTGCAGTCCTAGCCCAGGGAAACTCACCGGTACCAGGCGAGGCCCTTGTCGTAACTGCGGTCGAAGAAGTGGGGCTCTGCGCCCACAGCGCGCACGTCGGGATGCACGCGCAGGAATTCGAGCAGTGCCCGCGTGCCGCCCTTCTTAACGCCGATAATGATGGCCTGCGGCAGCTGCTTGCTCCCGGACCCACTAAAGAAGCTAGAGATGGGGCTGGGGGAGTCCGATGTCTCGGGACTCTGCTCCTCCTGGCTCGCGGCGCTCTCGGCCATCTCCTTGCCCGCAGCTAATAGGGTGGCTGGTGCTGCCTGGAACGGCAGCCTGGGAGAAGCCCCGTCGGAACCTGTGGCCATAGCTGACGGAGGGTGGGCGGCGCGGGACCCCGACCCCAGCAGCAGCAGCCCCGGAGCCGCGGCGCACGAGCCGGCGCACGAGTACAGGAACATGTAGAGCCAGATGCAAAGCATGGCGAAGAGCAGCGCGAGTTTTCTCCTCACGGGTGGCGGAGGCGGCGGCGGCTGCGGCAGAAGCCGGCCGGGGACATCGAGGCAGTATCGGCCGCTGCTCAGGTGCTGCCCCATGCGCTGCCCGCGGGCGCGGCGAGGGGCATGGCTCAACACATGGCGCGAGTCCCGCCGGAGCAGTGAGCGCGGAGAGGGTCCCTTAGCCCTCTGGACGCCCAGTAGTTCAGTTTACTGCCCCCGCGCTCCCGCGGCCACAGTTGCTGCTGCTGTTCTTCCCCAGGTGGCGGCGGCAGCAGTAGCGGCGGCGGCTTTTGACATGTTGCCCGGAGGAGCCGCAACTGGAACGAAAGTCGGGCGGAGGCAATTGCTGGCCTGAGGACGGCTCCTGCGGCGCGACGCCCGGCTCGGAAAACGCTGAACTCCCGTGCCCTGGCCACTCCAGGCGGTGCGCACTGCCGCTCGCCGGGGCTGCCTCCTTGCAGCCCTGCGAACTGAGCCAGAGAGCAGCCCCGGCACTTCCTCGCAGAGGCTGCGAAGGAGAACTGCGCAGGAAGAGTCAGAAACCGAGGTGGAGTGGGCGGGTTCGACCACTGGGAGTGACAGGCCGCTCCACCTACCAGAAACCCGAAGCACCATGCAAATACAGCCGCTTCGCTGAGGGGTCAGCAGCACACCCGTTCCCAGCACGTGTTTTTTTGTTGGGGAGGTGGAGAGTGGTCGGGGGTTGCTATTGGCTGTGGTACAAGGGGCGGGATCAGAGGGGCGGAGCCAGGGACTGGTGACAGAAGCAGAAGGTAGAAAAGATGCTGGCGTGACCCAGCATTGGAAGAGGACAGATCCCACCGAGTGGTGCGCTTCGGCATCCGCGCGCATTCCCCCACTGGCTTCTTGGGAGCCAGCTTTATGCTGTAGTTGCTCATATGTCTGGACGCGAGTCCCTATCCAGGTGTTTCTCGGGCGGGCGGGCGTGTGTGTGTGTGTGTGTGTGTGTGTGTGTGTGTGTGTGTGTGCGCGCGCGCGCGCGCGCGTGCGTGCAGTGTGCAGTAGGAAGGGGTTGGAGGAGCGAAAGTCAGGCCGGACGTTCATACAGCCCCCAAACCAGCCCATCTCACGCGGGGCTCTCAGAGGGATGCCTTTCCGGACAGGCACCGGTTTAGGAAGTTCAAGTGGAAAGCATATTTAGAAATCGCTGTCAACTTTTCTTTTTTTTTTTTTTTTTAATCGTTCCTTCTTTGCCAAGAGTTGATCTCTTCAGGACTACGGGTTAGCTGGGATCGGTATAAACTATCCTTAAGAAAAATATCTTTCCTAGTGTCCCAAACTGCTGAGGAAAGGTGGGGAGGGAGGAAATTAATGGAGTGATAAAGGCTGGTAAAAAAAAAAAGTTTCCTGGTAGAAAAATACATGTTAAAGTCACATGTAGAAAATTTAGTCCGGATATAAATTTGTTGGGAACGTTAAGTTTAAGAAAATGTTCAATCCTCCATTTTCCCTGAATAAATAAGTCAACATTCAGTTTCATTTAGGAGACAATTTGGTTTGCTGACCTGTTACACAAATTATTAGGTGTTGTTTCTTCCACCATTATTTAAAGTCTAACATCAAGCAGGAGCGAATCATTACTGAGTTGCACTTATTTTATAATCAAAGTCCACTCGAAGCGACTTTCCCCTGTTCTCCGAAAAATGACGCGCCTGGGGACGGGGCTGGGGCAGAGGGCGAGGCAGAGGACCTGCGCTTGGGAGGAAGTATAACCGCTCAATGCGGAAAGCGCTGGCGAGAGGTGCTACACTAGGCTACTTTCTTGCTCCGGCACTTGGAGTTCAGAAGCTCAGGATATTCAAGTTCATCCCGGTGTCCAGAGAGTTTTCAGTGCCTGCAACTCGGCCCAAGCAAGGCCAGCGGGCCTCCACCGCCTGGCTGCGCGCTGTTCCGGGACAGAACGCTCCTTCAGATTCCGACCCCAGCGCGGCCCCCTGTGTTGAGTGTCGCCCACCAGGTGACTGAGAGCCGCCGCTCAGGTCGCATTTCACTAACCGCGCAAGTGAGCGCGGCGGAACAGAACTGAGCCCAGGTCCCTCTGCCGTGCTGACTGCGGCTAGCCTCTACGCCAGCCCCGCGCGCTCTCGTTTCTTTCCTGAGTAAATGCCCTCAAACGTCCTGAGTCCCGAAGTCCTACTCTGGGTCTGGGTGCCCTGTGCCGGGAGAACCCTGAGAAAGCCAGTCGGTCGTTAGCACCTGAGATTCAAAAATGTGCGAGAGAGCGGTGGCGATGACTCGGGAGGATTCAGATAACCCAGCGTTCACCAAGGGACCGACGCGACCGGCTGTGCTCTGTGCGACCTCTTTGTAACTTCATTGAGCCCATGATATTTTCCTACGAAACTATAAGGGGGAAATAATTTAGATAAAGAATTTTCTTCTCCTTTTTATATTCGCAGAGATAATTCCTTTCTAGCTTTTCTTTCCTCTTCTCTAGGATGTCGCGTTTGTTCTTTGAAAGAAGTAACTTATTCCCCCTTAATATTTATTTATTTATTTATTTATTCATTCATTCATTCATTCATCCATTCATTTTAAACTTCTGAAACGAGACGTATTTCTGAGCATTAGCCCGACTCTATTTTGGAAATGTGAGAGGGAAACATTAATGTCTCTAAGGGTGTGTCTTCAAAATCATGTTATTTCGGGAGGAAATTAACTTACTATGTTTGATCTTTAGGTGGCTATATGAGTTTGCTGACTTTTGTGGGTTTGGAGGGAAAGGTGGTAGTGGTTTATGATTTTCATGTGTTTAGAAGAATCGTAGCTTCCACGTGGCTGTAGTCAGGGCTGGGTAGGTGTGTCTTATATATATATATATTTTAAAGATTTTGATAATCCTAATAAAAATGGTCTCTGTCCTGAGATTCAGTAAAGTTTTGTGTAAAATGATAAAAAGTGAGCAATTACAAATGGAGGCAGATATATTTAGGATTTTTTTTTTACCCCCAGGATGAAGAGAAGGAGGCAGTGGCAGCACAGACGTGGACACGGGAAATTGCCCTGAGTGTTCCGCAAACTGAGCACCTCAGAGCCAAGTCGCCGCCCGCGTCCACTCATTCAGTCCCAACAAGCGAGAACAATGCGGGAGTTTGCAGTGCGCGCAGAGGTTTCTGCCGCCCAAAGGCAATGGATCATTTGGAACCTGAGCGGCACTGGAAGGAGGGTGGGGGCTGTGAAGCAGCGGCCAAGCAGGGCCTTCGCTGCTACTCCAACGCTTTGGCCTTTCGGTCTACTTGGCGAGTCCTCCGGCTGCGTTCAGGAGCCCAAGGCTGAGCTCCGAAAACCCCACGCGCGACTGAAGCTACAGGCTCTGCCCTTGGAAATCAACATCTCTCCCATCATTCCATTCTGTAGATGCGGAACCTGAGTCTCAATCCTAGACAGAGCTGATGGCGAAGTTGGCGGTGAATCCAGTTTGAGCCTCTGCCTTTAACCCACTGCTCAGCTGTGCAGCGTCCCGCAACGCCGGAGCCTGGCCACAAGGAAACCACAGCCATCCAAACCAGGAGAAAGGTTTACCTCCGATAAACATTCAAAAAAATCTAGAAAGGTGTGAATTCAGTTCCAGCACACCTGTAAGGTTAATGTTTTATTTTGGTTGGTTGGTTTGGGATTAGCTAATGGGGTTGCTCACCAGGGTCCTTAAAGGTTCTAATCTGACAGGCAGCCCCTCTCCTTCAGAAAGGGACGACAGCCTCAGGGGACTGTCTCCTTTTCCTCTTCCCACAGGTTCTGCTGTCAACGGCCTGCTATGTGACCCCAGGTGGGTCACTCTCTGGCCCTAAAATTCCCCATGTGTAAAATGGGAGACTTGGACCAAAAGTTCCCCGCGATATTTTCCGCCTGAAGTTTCTCTGATTCTGGGGTCGGGAGGCGAGGCGCCCGCAGCTGCTCGCGCCCACTGGTCTGTGCTCCACCAGTACTCTCTGCAAGGCCTCAATGGCCGCATTTCCAGGGGCTGCCAGAGCCGGTGGCCCAGAGCCGCAGTTCCTGTCACCGGAACCGGTATCCTCCACCCACCCCAGCCCCCTCCTCCAGCAAGGCGGCCCCCTCCGGGGTTCGCAGCTGCAAAATGGCTTATCCCTGCTCCAAACAGCCAGAGGCAAAGGTTGGCGGCCCGCGCCGCGGCTCCAACGCCCGCCCGCAAGGGGGCGCTCTGATAGCTGTCGGGTGGCTGCAGGCTGAGATAGCGGCTGCTGCGGCCAGCAGGTCTTCCCAGCACACAGGAAAGGAGACTTTCCCCTTCTCTCAGGCTTCTGCGGCGCCTCCCAATCTCCTCCCGCCCCAACTCCACCTCCCGTCCCAGAACCCTGCACAAGTCTCCCGGGTGTCTACGCGGCTGCGGTGCCCCCTTCTCTTCTGAGGATTGTGGGCTCCACTCAGCGCGCAGGGAGCAACTGGCCAGAGGCGGGCATTCGCCCAGCTCCGTGGCTGCCGCTGCTGACCAAACACCTGGCGGGGCTAAGAAATTCCTTGTAAGAATGGCTGGAGGACTCTACCAAGAGAAAAGAAACGCATCCCAGCACTCAGCTTCAGCTGTGCCTAGGGGAACAAGGACCGACCAGCCTCAGCTGCCCCCCCCCCCCGCCCCCGTCTGTATATGCAGCCACGTCATTGCAGTAAGTGCTGCCATGTATTAGGAGTCTTTTGCAAATCACAGAAGAGGGACGATTGCTCTTATCTTATATATCTTAGATAAAAGCTGTTTGATGCCCTGACTGGTTTGGTGACTTCTATCCTGAGGAGTCAAGGTCGTGGGCTGATTACAAATCCCTTCTCCATATGCACAGTGCTCTGGCCCAGAGCTTCCCTTGCCTCTGGGAATGGAGCAGGGAATGGTGAAGAGACTGAGGGAGAGGAATTTATGCCCCAGGGTTCCTCCTGGCTGAGTCCTCAAAGGCTAGCTTCTTCCTTCCCCAGGAAGTATTCATACAGCCTTGCTGTCATCAGATTCTTCAATGGCTGCCTCTCACCTCTTCAGGCCTAACGTGGTAGACAGCTCACCTTACCTGTGCCCGGGCACTGTGCCTTCCTGAGTGTCTCTCCTCCTCCAGCACCTTTGTAAGTAGTCCATTTATTAAATACACTCTCCTCCAATTACCCAATCCAGGTGTACCATGTCTTTCTTGCCAGGACCTTGACATATGATACACCAAGGCTGCATTATTTTTCCTATTCTGGTTCCCAACCACTTACTGGCTTTGCGAGACTGAATAAGTTACATAACCCTTCTGAACCTCAGTACCACTATCACTGTACTCTTACAAATGCCTTCAGCGTCTCTCTTCCTCCATTATACTTATTATACTCTCCTGGCAATGAAACCCCCTCAAGGCCAGTCCTGCCTTCAATCTTCCTAGCCTGAGCCACTGAGTTGCCGGAGGATCCTGCCAGGAAGATGACTGGTCCTGCTTTAATTTTCAACCATAAACTTCCTGTGGGTGAATAAAAGCATCCCGCAACTCTTCTAAATGTCTCAGAGAGGC